GAGCTCAGCAGACAGTTAGGTTTCACTTTCACTTTTGCCCGAGAGCCTGCAGGAGTCATGGGCGGGGTGTGTGGGCGCTCCGCCATGAGGAAGCTCGACTTAAAGGCACACTCCAGGGGCGTTTCTGGTCCCAACCTGTCGTTTTGCTCCTCAGCATGGCTTCCTAAAAACACTGCAGGATTTCTCAAACATGCATGAATGAGTCAAAGCAAGGCTATGGGCATGTTTTTTATGAGAGTATAACATTATAACATGATATAAAACTCAAAAAAGTTGATTTTACATGAAATTGCCCCTTTAAAACAAGAAATGTGCAATCATCAGCATTGTTAATAAGGGGAAACAGTAAAATAATTGTGGTTAAAATGTTTAAACTAAACCTTCCTCTTTCTCAGAACTGTTTGAATTTGCATGTGGTCTACTGCTTTTGGCTAGATGTTGGTACAATGACTGAGCACTTAAAACACACAATACATGAATTTGTAAGGTATAGATCTATGAACTTATTGTGGCTGCTGCCACTATGAAATCTTGAATTGGAGAAGTGTTTGCATATTTGACAAGTTTTTCTTTCAACTACTGATGAGTTTATTTGGTTGATTTAATAGATTACTGTCACTTCTTGCTGAAGTATTACTTAAGTATATCATAATCTACTTGGTCAAAAACAACCAAAAAGAAGGTCAATATCAATAAATAAATCTGTTTATTGGTAATACTTTAAATCTTATTTTCATAGTTTTTTTTTAATAAAACATCCTGCAAAAACATCATCTGCATCGTCATGAGCAAACTTGGTGACTTGCAAAAACATTGAAGTGCACTGCTGGTGTCGCTCTCCTTCCTGGACGTGATAGACATCACCAGAGGCTACACTCAGCGGGTTTCCTAATATAAATACACGCAAGATCAGGCGATAACACACAAACACACAAGAGAATTTCCCCAGTTTAAAACACAAGAGAAAAAAAAAAGAGTTTATTTTCTTCTGAATGCACTCCACAGTCTCCACTGCTGTTTCTTTGTATGTCTGCTGAATGAGTGCTGCTGTAGTTTGGAAGAGGAGACCCCCCCACAGTCCCACTGTTAGCTGTCCTGGTTGAAGCTCTGCATGTCGGTGAGGTACTGGGTGAGACCGTCCTCCCCCTCCTCTTGCAGGTGCTGCTGGTAGCATTGCAGCAGGCGGACAGCACTGGCCCCCGAGGGGCCGCCGCCGTCCGGCAGGCAGGCCCCTGACATGTCCAGGATGATGGTGGTCAGAGATTTGATGTAGTTCTTAGCCAGAGTCAGAGTCTCGATCTTGGACAGCTTCCTGTCCGTTCGGACGTGGGGGATGGCCTCCCGCAGTGCCTGGAAGGCGTTGTTGAGTTTGTGCATGCGCTGACGCTCGCGCTCGTTGCTCTCCAGGCGCCGGACGCTGCGCTCCTTGGTGCCTCGCTGCTGCCTGCGCCGCCGGCCCACGCTCGCTCCTGCCCCAGCCCCTCCCCCCTGCCGCCTCAGAGAGCCCCTCCAGGAGCCACCGATCTGAACTGAGGCCTCAGAGCCCTCCTGCTCGCTGGAACCCGGCTCCGTGTCAGGTTCCTGTTCTGGCTCCGGGTCGGACCAGGACCTCCTGGAGGGTCTCACAGCTTTTCCTTTGGACTTCATCCTGCCCTTCACCTCCCTGCGTCTGATGGAGCAGATCTCACAGTTTTAGCAATCCTGAAGACAGGAGCCGTAAGAAAACTGTTAACGCTTGAAAAAGTGCATTTATATGAAAATATAGTGTCAACGCTGAAAGAGAGTTTCTAAAACCTAAACGTAGCACAGCACCAAGTAAAAGATTAGCAAAATGCTAATTAAAAGCTGAAAAGAAACAAACTGCTAGCTCAAAACTCTAAAAGCAAAAGGCTATGGCTGTGTCCAAAACGGCAGGCCGGGTCCTCCGAAGGCCGAATTTGTCGGCCGCATACGTCACAGCACCGCGACGAAGG